TTCATTAAAATATAGTGGCCGATTTCGTAACTAATATCCCCACCCTACCCGCATTTCTTCAATCCATCGTTCAAGAATAGTTGCGCGAGTAATATGAGACTATTAATAAAACGCGTGGTCCAGAATGGCGCGCATCTGTTCGCGCAAGTGTCTGCTGAGCTTCTGGGTTTACCGGCCGCGCGTGAATGCCGCAGGAATTCCGGAACTGCGCTTGCCGCCCTTCGACCCGCTGTCGCTGCAGCAGCTGGAGTTGCAGGAGGGCCACGGCAGCCTCCGCTTCGTCATGCGCTTCAAGAACGCCTCCATCACGGGCTTCAGGGATGTCCAACTCCACTCCGTCCAGTGAGTAGATTCCGACTGCTGCCAGCCTTTAACACGTTTCCATTCGTATAATGGTCGGTTTTCTCAAAATCCGATGGGCTATCACGAAAACACTAGCAAAGAAATAGTTGAATCAGCTTAAGGAGAAACCTGCTAATCTAATACAAGGTTTGATGGGTTTCAATTTAACTTCTTTCCCATTCTAACAAATTCCCACGCAACCGATACCTCTTATGGCCTCGGTATTTGCATCAAATCTAGAGACTGAAAATTAATTTGTAATAATATGCTTCGATGCTTTCTAGTCGGTCTATTAAATCCACTCCCCAGATTTACGCTCCATTATACATAACTGGGAGAACTAGCGATTTAAACATTGTATCGCCCACCTTTAAATGCAATTCCGATACCTTGCGCACCCCACAAACGACGTCTTTGAGTGCAATTCTTCATTTACTTTCGCCACCACTATGTGACTACTTCATCCCCCATTCATGGAAAATTTTGCACCAAGGTATGTAAACACTTTGACACGGTCGATCTCATCCTGCGCATAATATCATTTCTCTTTTTTACTCCAAATAAAGCCATTCTTGTGAACAACAATTTTCGGTTTTTTAAATATTAACTTCTAGTCTCCATGTTTCACTTTACTTTCTCGAATTTTAAACTCCTCTGTAGACCCTCAATAGATTCCGAACATAAATGTAAATCATCAGCATATAGTAATCCTGGAATTTCCAGATCAGTAATTTCTAGCCCAGCTGGATCCGCTTCCCGTATGCAAGACATAAAATCGTTTACAAACAAGATAAACAATAGCGGTGATAGAGGTAAAACCCAGTCTTACTCTATGCTGCTTGTTGCAGAGCGAGTGATGATCTGAGCTCCTGGCGCTTCGACGCCAGCGTCCCGCACCTGCACGTGGTCGGCCAGTACGAGATGGAAGGACGTCTCTTGGCGCTGCCCATCCAGGGCCATGGAGATGGCACCATGGACTTCTGTAAGTATCGTTCTGAACTCGCTGATGTTCAGGTAACAAAATTTCTTGGTCTCTCAATTCAGTCAAGCCGCAAATGGAATGTACATATAACAAATTAAACACTGAATTAACTTCATTATATTACGCATTCAGAATTCTATCAAATTCTGTCAGCCTTCATGCAGCTCGTTGCGTGTATTTTGTAAATTTACATTCCCCCTTAGATATGGTAAAAAGTTCTGGGGAAACTCATCAAACTACAAAGGTAGTACTCAGACCTTTAGATTGCAAAATAAAATTATTCGAATAATGAAAATATGCCATCCACGTGATCCCTGCAAGTCTCTCTTCATTGAGCTCGGAATCTTACCATTGCCTTGCCTATATATTTACCAATCTGTAATATTTGTCAAAACTGACTGACGTTACGGTGAAACATATTTTCATGCAATACTGATATTTACAATTACAATACACGTCGTAAAAATCACGTTCATCAAGTGTTAGTATCAACAGTTCACTATCAGAAATTCACATACAATACATGTACGTTACTTTACAACGCGCTGCTAGATGACATTAGTCACCCCAAACTATCAACAGCTGATACCTCCTAGGGGCAGAGTGGCGAAAACCTCGGTATAGAATTACGTTTTGCGCTGGTTACAGACGGTTACGCCGCTCGTATGTTTTGTCTTCAAAAAATATGGCGGCCACTAGTTCGGCGAGCCTTCATCAAGATCGCTGAAACTATAGGGACAGCCACTCTATCTAGTACATTCTGGCTCGTTTTTTACATTGCCAAACGTTATAGGCGGGTCAGGATATTAACTAACATGCACGGTCAAACATTTCTTTGATAGAAATATTGCGTTGAAAAAAAGTAGGAAGGAGGAAATTTGCTTTATTATTTGTGACCCTGGCAATTTTCTTCTTTGGAAGCGTCTGTCATTCGAAATGTATACCAATTTATTGTTAATCATATCTAGAGACAGTGGGGAAAAGAGTTCATATATATATATATATATATATATATATATATATATATATATATAAATATAATGAATGATTTCCCGATATATATTTATAGTTTGGGTTGGGAAAGTTTTCTATACCCAGTGAGTCCTAGTGTCCTATTAGCTTTTGTAATGAAGTACCCCTTTAATATCATTCATTATTACCGCCATTATCACTTTTGACAGTTCGCAGAACGAGTCAGGGAACGGAATGCATTGTAATAAAAAAGGAAAATAAGTATGATTATTTTTTCTTAAATGTATAATAAGAAATGATACTATGTGATCAAAGGTATCCGGACACATGGCTGAAAATGACTTTCCAGTTCGTGGCGCCTTTCATCGGTAATGCTGGCCTTGATATTTTCCACTCTCGCAGGCATACTTTCAATAAAGTTCTGGAAGGTTTCTTGGGGAATGGCATCACGAAGTGCTGCACAGAGGAGAGGTATCGATGTAGGTCGGTAAGGCCTGACACGAAGTCGGCGTTCCAAAACATCCCAAAGGTGTTCGATAGGATTCGAGTCAGGACTCTGCGTAGGCCAGACCTTACATGGATGTTTTTGTCGTGTAACCACTTTGTCACAGGCCGTACAGTAAGAACAGGTGCTCGATCGTGTTGAAAAATGCTATCGCCATCCCCGAATAGCTCAACAGTGGGAAACAAGGTGTTTAAATATCAACGTAGACCTGTAGCGTATAGTGCCACACAAAACCAGCGGTGCATGCCCCCTCCGTGAAAAACACGACCACACCCTAATACCATTTCGGACGTGTCCGGATACTTTTAATTGCATAGTGTATGTATATATAATAAAAATGTGTAATATGATGTGCAATGATATGCAAAATATGTGTAATGAAAAATTGATTTTGTTTAAAACTGCTCCATACAAAAAGTAAAAACGAAAAATAAAGAGCAAATGGCCGATCAGATCTTAAAATGGGTTTGGAACGGCTGAAAGAAAGTTCTACCTCTACAGAAATAATTGTATACTTGTCTTCAGTACACCATACAAGTGTTATTTGAAATATAAAATAGTTATGCTGTGTGTGTGTGTGTGTGTGTGTGTATGTGCTGAAAAGGGTAATGGAATCACGCCCTCATCAATTCCAAAAACGCGATAAAACGTAATCTGTAAAACATATTTTTTAGATTTCGATTTAGTTGAGAATGGGCGCTATGAAACATTAAACATTAACAAGCCGAGGGTGATTGAAATTACTTCTCTTTGCACTCATCCTTGATTCCGAGAACTCTTGTTTTTAAGAACTAGAGTTTTCGGAATCAAGGCGCTCCAAGTACTTTCTTCTCTTTGTACTACAGAAAAATCTAATCTAAAAGATGTTTTATGCTAAGTTAATATAATTGAAGTTATGTTTTTCTTTACAACCATTGTCTGATTCTTATTTAATAGATAACGTCTCAATAATCCATGAAATAACACTGAAGAATGTTACTCGCAAGGGGAAGATATACAACCACGTGGACACCAAGAAGTGGACCGTAGATACTACGTTTGCTAAAGCGCATTTCACTAACCTTTTCAACGGCGACAAAACACTTGGTGAGTATATCAACCAAATATTATCAGGTGTATGAAATATTACGTTTGAAGACCGCAGGAAGAAAATGAGTCATGAAAAAATAATTAGCCCAAATTGAATGTTTTTCAAAAAATTGCACACCATCGTGGCGTGGTGATATGGCACATCGTGGAGTGGTGAGAAGTTATGCCTGAAATTAGGTAGTCTCGACACACTCTGTTATCGACACTCTGTATCTCGTAATATTGAACGATATCCTAACGATTTCCGAAACGGAAAGTCCCATGAGTCTAGCTCCAACTACAATTCCGCGTTCAAAGTCTGTTAATTCCTGACATGCAGCCATAATTACGTCAGAAGCCTTTTCACACCAATCACTTGAGTACCAATGAAAGCTTTAATATATATGGGTGACCCGACTCACCTGATTACCTGTTTGCCTGATCCAGCTTAGCCCCGGTTGCTCAGTCTGTAAATTCTGATAGGATGCATGCATGCATGAGGCTCGAGTTCATGCGCTCAGACAGTCATTGTCCGCCAAGCGTACTCTTTGCAGCTACTGCTTGGTGTTCGTCTTGGCCCGAGCTATGCAGCAGCTCAGCGCTGAAGCGCAAGGTAGAGGGTTGACGGTTCTAAAAATAGCCGCCGGAACAGAAGGCTGGAATTTCCAGAAGGCACGGGGTCGCGTGCCAAGACAACGCCAGAGAATGTCTCTATCCAGCGCGTGGGGGGGGGGAGAAATTACGTGAGAGGTCATGCAATTCGCGCCCATACACGTCGCGTCGTGATGGCGCGGGTGGGTTACAACTCTGGTTTCCTCGTGGCAAGTGCACACAACTTTGTCCACCCACACTGGTGCGGGTGTAGATGGCACATGGAGGTTCGATGTGATCGGACCAGGCGAAATGTTCCTCGAACACTGTCAGGTAGATTGTTGATCTGCCGGGGCACACCAGGTGCCAATTTGCGAGGTGGCGTAGCTGGCATGTCGTAGGCATCGCCGCAAGGTGCATGTAGGGAGAGGGGAGTGCAGTGGTAGTGTGGCGTCATATCAGTCGCATTGTACAAACGTACCAAATATCAGCCACGTGCATTTCATGCTCATGGGCAAGGCTGGCGGAAGAGACGCTGGGCTGAACAAAGACTAGGGAGCGGAAGGGAAGTGGTGCGCGTCAGCGGAAACAGCGAGATGACGCAGTTCCGTCAGCAGGCCCCGAAGGTAATATAAATGGGACTCCGGGCCTAAACTCCTTCTTCTGATTCTTGGGCGCGTCGGTAGGAAGTCGTGTGGGTTGTGCGCTGCGCTGCATTTTAATGCATAGGCTACTGAGGCAGGGAACTGAAGCCGGCATACTACGTCGAGAGTACTACGTCGAGAGTACATACTCGCTTGTATGCTCACGTAGGCTACTGGTGCATCACACCGAATATATCTAATTATGAGGCCAGCGGTGGTGGTAACCAGGGAACATTCCTTCTAGTAACGGATCAGTATTGTTTATTGTAAATATTGTACATAGTATTCAGGTGTTGGAGCATTTTTTCAAAGAAATACTTAATAATTTGCAAACCGTTCACGTCTGTGATTTATTGCTCCGGCAAAGACGCCACAGTAGCTCTGAGAGTGAGCCTTAAGAGTGAGGTTTTTTAAATATGTACATCTATGTAAATAAACTTGTATATACTCACTCGTGTCTGTTTTCCTTGTGGCGTAGATCCCTACCCACGATATTAGAAAAAAATGGAAGTAGATGGCTTAGTGAAAAAAATATTTTTTGATGCATGAACAAAATCGACACCGATAAAACCGTTGTCCAAATGGATTTAAGGGTGCCACAAACCTCATAAATATCCCACTTTTGGACTTTTTCACCTATTTTTAGAAAATCACGAATAATTATTATTTACAGATATTTTTATCAATTGATTTTGGGTTGATGTGCTGCCCACGTTACCCCGTAACAATTTTGTGATCATCAAATACTACTTATTTTACCCAATGTGCCTCATTAGCACGAATGTGGCCAGTTTTACGTTAAAACAATAGAAATGGACACTTTTCAAATGACCGTAGCTCCATAGGTTTTTATTCAAATACTTTTAATTTAGATAAGATAAAAGCTTGAAGTGTATTTTAAAAACATGTATTTGTACAATTTAACGATTTCACTGAATCGGCAAAAATTGTGCCGCGCGCCATCACTAATAATGACTCAGAATTACCCTATCTGATTTATTTATTCACTTAGGCTGCATTGAACATATATATAGGGATATCAAACTGGTTTTGATGTTACAATACTTTAAAGAAACAATATAAAGCATTTGGAAGCTCATGAGCTATTTTTTCCCTCTTCGTTTCGGTGCGTGCAAAGTACCCATGTTGTCACACCCGCTGGCTTCCCCCTCGCTCCACTGTTAATGGCTCACTCGTTACTGGTAACGAAGATGTGGATGTTTCTTGTTGATGTATAATGTAAATTACTTTCATTTAAAGGTGGTGAAGCCAGAATTCATCTTTTGGGAGTCCTGTATACCTAAAAATCGGTTGGCGGCAAAACGTCAGTGTATCCGTTCTGCTGTGGCCAACGTTAACGATTAAACCGCTCAGCAACTATAGGGCCTAAGCAGCAGCAACCGTGTCTCATTTTCGGCGAACTCTCTGAATTTTCGAAAATTGCAAATTTAGAAAGAATGCAAGAAAGTATATGTTATTGGGCGTCACTAGGTACTTTCTCCTATATGTACTACGCATATACGTAGTATAAGGAAAGTTATGTATTGCTGCGGAAAATCGATTTCGAGATTTCAAAGGAAATACACCATTTGGTTTTCCCTGATACCGAAAATGCGAATTTTATAGGATCGTCCATCCTTTCAACACTAACACGTAAACTTTTTTCAATATTGATGTTCTCGGGATCAAGCTAGACTACAAGCTTTGCGATTTTGAAAAACATTCTTTAAATTATGAGGATACTTTACATAAAGTGCCTGGAATATTCTTAAACTTTTCGCAAAAATTGCTCCATTTTTTAAAATTAAATTTCTTGTAAGAATAGACTGTACTGATGTACAAAATTAGCTTTTCAAAAAAGGTCAAGAACAATGTTTTGAAAAACGAGTAGTTTTGCGTATTTTGCGATTAGGGGATAACCGTAAAGGTTGACCTGAAAAAAGACGTTAGAAGACAATTACGAGAAAGTCTGTAACATTCTCTTGCTTCCTTCGTTTTATTAACTTTCAGCGTTTTTTTCTGATTACTTGTATGTGTACTATTTCCTCTCCTGTAATACCATTCTTTCAATCTGAATGGACGTCCTCAAACCAAGGAAGTAGGTAGTGTTTTGTTCTTTCCTAGAAATTGATTGTTTTTTTTGGATTTTGCACTTACTAAAGGTCGCTTTTGACCTACTAAGGTCATGTAGCGACTACTCTAAGTAACTCTGGGGGTAACAGTAACGGTCAAACATTCACGCTTCACGCGGGATTCGAACCCGCAACACTTCAGGCACGATGCAGCTGCGGCTCTTCAGCTTTAGCGACCTCAGCTATCCAGGCCAACGAAATAGATCTTGTTGACTATTTTTTCAACATACATTTGATTTGTCAATGTCAAGTAAAATATGAATATTATATTAGTTGTCAGGACCTCAATTTTATATATACAGCTCCTGATTGTATTAAGTTTTGTAATAAAGCAATAATTTTATTTTTACTTCTTAGCCCTAATTTCTTAAGAAGAGAAAATATTGTATTTGTGCCCCGGAGAATGGCGAAGTTATAATTAATGCGACATAAAGCCGCACGTAATCTTCTATTAATTTACCACCTCTTTCGATTTTATGATTTTAATTCCTACCCAATATATTATAATATACCCAGTATATTAATAAGGTATTGTTGGCTAATATAACATTTCTGTTTCAGGAGATGCAACAAACAATTTTCTCAATGAAAATTGGAGGGAAGCGTTCCAGACTTACAAACATCTTCCAGAAGAAGCGTTTGGTCAAATTTTTCTAGAGATTGAAAATGGCTTTTTCGATCAGTTTCCATTGGAAGAATTGTTTCCAGAGTAAATGAGTCAACTTCCAAGAACCATTCTCCAATATTTCTTAAATCCAAAGCTGTGTATTCTGTAAATAGAAGTGAATGTTCTTCAAAGAACGTTTTGATACTTCTTCGAAGAACGTCACACTAACTAATTTTTAATATGAAACCAATACACGTATTTTGAAAACATCAATGTAGATCGCAAATTATTCCGTTGTATACTGAAGTAAAAGGTCTCCCAACAATTAAATCTGAAAATGTACATCTTGAAATTCTGAGTAAATAAATACACGGTAGTTGCAACATCTGAGCAAATAAATACGAAGTAGTTGGGACCTTTAGTTAATACAAAAATCTTAACTTCCTTTATCTATCTATCTTTTTGCATGAACCTGGCTGCAAATTCAGAATTAAAAAGGACTTCAAATTAAGTATTTGAAGCTAAATAGCTGAGAATAATAGAACAATTCATTCTTTAAATACAAGAAACGCGAATTTTCACGTCTGTCCCACGAAAATGTGATACATTTTATGACTTGTATGTTTGTCAAACACGTTGGAGGATGGAAATAGAAAAAATCTAGGAAACTAAAAATATAAAATATTCCCAGAACAAAACTTTCTCATTTTATTTTAAAATCTCTTCCATTTTGGTTTTCCCGCTTCATAAGAAGAGAAAGTAAATCAACTTTGCGCTCGAAAACGGCGAACATTCGTCAGAAAAAACATTTTTGCTGGGCTCTGGTAACCAAAAAGTCGATGTATCTTGGTTCCAGATGTAGCAAATTATTTTTAACATGCTATGTGTTAAATGTTCAGAATACACGCTGCTTAATATCGAAAAATCGATTGTCGGGAAAATGTGTGTCTGTGCGCCCCTCCGACCGTCCGTAGGCAACACTAGCGCGCAACCCTCAGCCGCTTTTCTCCAAAATTGATATTCCCTGAGCGATTTGAACTAACTTGAGTCTTTGCGAGTTTGAGAAGGATATTTTAATTTTATTAATAACCGATCAATTTTTTTTCTTGGACCCCCCCCCACGAGTATAATGAGGAAAGATTAAATGAATGTCGCGTGTAATAACCCCTCAAAACTATCACTCTCTCCCACAACACGCAATAAACCTACACTTTCAAGCATTAACAGACGGCACTCTAGCCTATACCGCTTGCTTGCCCAAGAATACATTTTGTAACTCAATGAAGTCTTCAGCGATGCTCTTTATTTTAAATCTGTGAAAAACGCTCTAAACGTAGCACGAGAAAATATTTCAATGACGAAGGGAAAATGACTTGAGATTATTTAAATACAAAATTGTAAATGAGGTCATTTAGAAAAGAATAAGCAGATATTGAGCTTTCTTTATCCAGTTTTATAAAGTCAGTTAAAACAGTTCAAATACCAGGACGAATTCCCGTGTAATTGCTGATGCCACTACTTCCTTATGATATGAAGTATATCATGCGAGAAAGCGACGATGTAGCCAATAACTATGATGTTGTGAAAGAAGTTTAATAACACGGTTCAAAGTATGTAGAAAACAGTTCCATATCTCGTTTATGAGACAATAAAACTGAAATCATAATTTGGGTAGATTATATAAAGAAATAACCTGATAAACCAAACGAAATTCCCGTCATAGAATTGAATTATGTAAATCAAGTTAAAACTCATAACACGGAAAGAGAAAGTGTCGACGTCATTCAAGTCAAAAAGATACATTCTAAAACTGGTGGTGCTACAGAATGGCACAGACTTTCCCGTATTAGTTTTCTATTTCCTTTGATCTGGACCAGCTATTCGGAATTGCCCCATACTCTTGCCAGCTACCATCTATCGCCGCCTAAAGTACACGTTTTGGAAATTTTCTTAATTTTTCGGTTTCCTGATAGAACGGAAATATTATTTTATGAATATTAAAGAACAGCAAAACCTCGTCCTTAATTGCAATTTTCTTTGAAAACTTTGCAGCCGTTTTTAAGAAGATGGCGTTTACGCGCTACTGTAAATTCGAAAATGTTTGAGTTTTCGAAAAACTTCATTAAAAAGTTGAAGCACTTTAACTCACAAATACAATATTATTTATAAATTGCTGGAAATGTGCATAATAAGGGCGTGAGTGATCTAAAAAAAAGACATAAGAAAGACACAACAAAAGAAAAAGTTTGAAGAAAAGGTTTGGAGCCATTTGTGAGAAAATGAGGAATTTTGAGCAAGTTTCACAGAAAACTGTTGAGTTTTCGTGAAAATTTACGTGATATTATTTAAAGCACATGTTCTCATAAATACAATAATGTAAACAAATCGGTGATAGTGTAAATATTAACAATGTGAGAGACAAGTAAAAAAATAAATTTTCGTAATTTAAAAAAAACACACAAAAGAATAGAGTAAAGTGATGTTTATGTCATCTCATAGAGTACATTTAGCACTATCTCTTCCAAAACTTTAAAGACAACAATTGGAGTCCTTTTTGAAAAAATCTTGTTCTTGTTATTTTTTAAAATTGCACATATTACACGTAATATTGCGCGAAAGCTACTGAACTTTAAAAAAAAATGTACTTGACTTTAATTAGAGAACTCATTATAGAGAACAAATTTTATTTCATGGCAAAATCACTACCGCCCCTCAAATGGACACAGATCGACGAGGAATATCCATTTTGGAAAAAGTCACACTTATGGTTTAGACGCATACACAGGCAGGAGGACGGAGGGACGGACTTTTTTTGTTTTTTTTAAAACAATTTTTGCGGTATCATTGGACCACAAAACATATATTTTCGTTGAAATCTCGAAATCGTTTCTCCAGAATTAGTTTTCCTTATACTACGTACATTACTTCGTATATACTACGTACGTATACGGGAAAGTAGAAAAATATTGGTATATTCTGAAGAAATCATTAATGTTGAAAGTATTTATTTTAAACACAATTTAGATGGCCGTGTTAATGATATCTTAAAATAGATACAAGTTTCAATTGGAATCGTAAAACACGGAAGAGAATTCAAAAATGTTTCTCAAACTGTGTAAGCGATACAGTTTGATATACTGAAAAATGCACACGAAATATGATTTAAAGGCCGGGGTCAAGTAAAGGATGGATTATTTTTAAGGGAAGTGGAAAGGAACCTCATGTTGTGGCAACCAGGCTGGTGCAATTCACACCAGCAAAAGTGCAAGAATTTTAATGCTCGCATCTGCAGGAAAGAAGCCCGCGGATCTTAAATAGCAGTGCAACGCTCGTCGGGGAAATTGGCGCTGACAGGAACGCGAGAGGGTTAGCAGAGGAGAAATGAGGTGTAACGGGGGCAGAGAGTATATAGTGATTCTCATGGAAAAACCTCTAAATGTGGTCAACTTTATCCCAGAACACAAACGTAACATACATAAAATGGGGACTCAGTATGAAAAAAATACGTTATATTACTGACTTACGCAGTTTTAGGAATGGAGAGTGTTTAATAATCCAGCACTAAAAAGAACAAATTTTTAGGTGGTATATTTACTGGACATGTTAATTTGTATTTTTAAAAAAATGTAATTATTTTATTTTTATTGTAATATGAATGTGACGTGTAAAAATTGTACTTTTCTATTAGTTATCTATTACCTATAGATTATTATGATTGATTGTGTTTGCTCATATTTATTGTTTGGATTATTTTTTTTGCTTATTGTTCAATTTCAAATCAGTATGATTCTTTACCAGAAGAAAACGTATCCTAGCCAGGGAGGGGCTGAAATACCATTACTATTGCTCTGATAAGGGTAACTAAGAAGGTTTCAAGACATTGTAAACACTTCTATTCTGCACATACATTGTGTGAACGTTCGATTTAGTGTTTTAAGAAATAAAAGAGTTTTATAATTATGAATACAGTCTTTAATTTGAATACATATTGGTGATGATGTCTGGTGTCCGCTAATTTAAAAGTATTGCTGACTCCAATATTAATACCAAAAATATTTTTCCATACAATTTAACTCTCCACTTTAGATCTTTAAATACAGTCATGCACAATTACAAAAATATCTATTTGTTGAAGAATGTTAGCAAAAAAAATCGTGACATTTTCTCAAAAAGTAGGTAAAAAATCATTTTAGTGAGCTGACATCCCTATCTATTCATGAGGGAAGGTTGAGTTCGGAGAATTGAATACTTGGCACCATCAGCACGTTTAGAATTTATTGGAACATTCTAATTATGCATTTCACAACACTAAGAGGTAAACATTAGTTATGCCGTGAGTTTCCCACAAGCTTTACTACTGTAGGATTTCTAAACAATGACGCCATTTGCAGGCGGTCATAATTACCCCATTATTGAAGTTCCTAGCGGAAAGAATTAACGTATGATTGTGCTGCTCCACTCGTTGCGGATCTAGAGCAGGAGGCCCGCATTTAATGAGCAAGGACGCACCAAATCAAAGTTATGTAATGTAAGTGATGCAAATATGGCCAGTGCAGGTAATATGGTCAAGTAGCGGCTATGATCTGAGCTGCAATTATTTCTGATTGTGCTAGCATGCAGTCTGGGAGAGTGTCTGCGTGAACATCGTATCAGATTTGTTGCTTCGCGCATTCGCACTCTGGAGCTTTTATTGTCAAGAAAGCGGCGAAGGCGCTCTGCCCTTATTACGTCTTATAAATTCTCGCGCTATTGTTTTAAAAAAGGATTCATTTCAGGCCATATTTTTGTAAGCTTGGACTAAAAGAGTATAATTTATATTATATAGTAGTATAGCTGGGCCTAGTTCCACGGTCATGCTACAAGAAACAAGTTAATTTGGAAATGGTCATAAAACCTGTATGTGGGAATATTACCTCCAAATTACTATGTTTTTGTAAAATAACAACAAAATATTTCTTAATCACCTTTTTTGTTATATAGCTAATTCAACTTGAAGCAAAAGTGTTAAATTTCATCAAGATGCTATTAATTTGTCCCAATGTTGAAATATATAAACAGCAAAATTTGAGGCGCTTAACCTGGTCATATTACTTTCACATACCTTATTATGCACTACCTATCTATGTACTATTTAAAACACTTGACGTTTTCGTTTAGAAAGACATTGGATCGTTATAGTCAACCAGTTTTCGTGATTTGTTCTTTAAATGAAATATAGTGAATCCTAGGTGTGTCAACACTTGCTTTAGATATATTTATTGAAGTTTGCTTTGAGCTAATGCTCGGTGGCAAACATGATTACAATTAGAATTAGAACAGTTACGAACTATTCTAACACTTCACTTCACTACATTGGCTCATGACCAGCTTGATAGCCATGGGGTGGCTCAGGCCAGCGTCTGTGACGCGGTCGTGGATTCGATTCCCGACCAGGGTTGAAATGAAGCTGCAGCTTTCTAATACAAATCGTCTCAGTGTCTAGAGTCGTGTGAC